GCTCTAGCTCCTTTTTCCATCTACTGAATTTGAGTTTTGGTCCCTTGCAATCAACTAAGGCAGCCACCTAGCAAATGTGTGACTCACAGGCCTGACCCTCAGTTCCCCATCTGTAAAATGAGGACAGCGAAGCCCTCATCAGTGGGAGCTGGGTGATTGCCAGCAGAGTGGCGCTGTCAGTGCAGGCAGAGTGAGGGGCCGGCACGGATGTGGAGCCAAGGGCAGCTCTCCATGCTCCACTTTCCTCCAGAGATGGCAGCAAAGCTCTGTCTGTCACAAGGCTCCACCCTTGCCCCTGGGACAGGAGTCCTAGCATGCCTGTTTTGTGGGGAGGAGGAACTGAGGCACAGAAAGCCCAAGTAATATGTCCAGGTCCCACAGGCCAATCCCAGACAGTCAGGCCCCAGATCCTAGGCTGTTGGGAGAAGGTCTGGGATGGACAGTATTGCTAGAGGGAGACCGTCACCCCCCCGAAGGCCTCAGTTTCCCCATCTCTAAAATAGGAGACCTCCAAGAAGTCTCCCGAGACTGAGTCTTTCAGATGTCTCTATTTGGATGGGCCTCAGACAGCCCAAGACCATTGAGAGGCTGGGGGAGGGGAGGAGGCACCCAGATGCCACCTCACTAGGGGGCCAGGAATCCCTATCCCAGCCTGCCCAACACTTGCCCCAGGCTGTCAAGACCCTTTTTAGGGGGAAGTGGAGAAAGAGGCTAGAGCCCAGAGAGGGGTAGGAGCTTACACAAGGCCAGCCCAAGGCCAGCCCAAGGCCAGCCCAAGGCCAGCCCAAGGCCAGCCCAAGGCCAGCCGGAGGACTGGGAAAGAGGCAGGACTAAAACACGCTGAGCTTGTGGACTGGCCAGGGCTGAGCAGCCGCAGGGTCTGTGGGGGCAGGGCGGGAGCCAGCTGGGAGCCTGGGGGAGGAGGGAGCAAGGCTCAAGCTTCTCCCATGACCAGGCACTGGGCTCGCCCTGCTTGCTGGGCAGGTGCTGGGCACGAAAGCAGCTTAACTGGCCCCTGAACACTAAGCCTCGGGTTGCCCTTGGCCCACCTGGACCTTCTGACCGGCCGGCTTAGCTGGGAGCAGCTCCAGGCCAGCGAAAGCACCACCCCCTCCTGGAATCCTATCCTGAGGCGGGGAACTCCTTACATCACCATAAGCAGTGTAATCCCAGCAGCCGGTGACCAGGTCAGTCCACACCTTTTCTGGCAAGTGGAAATCAGACTGGTGGGAATATTTGCAATTGTTTACATCTATGGAGCATTTAAAATCTTTGTTTCCTGTTCTCTGATTAGAGAATAGCCACATACTCACTGTGGAAAATTCAGAAAATATAGAAAAAAGTCAAGAGGTAGGAAAAAAGACCATCCACAATCTGACCTTTCAGTGGCCAGGGGAAGCTGGGGAGCAGCCTCCAGCCTGACTTTGTCCCTCCTGTGCCTGGCAGTATCCCCAGCTCCGAACTGGCCCGGCACACAGTAGGGGCTCAGTAGTATCTGCTCCATAAATCCGTCATTCCTTCTACCCTCCAGGGTACCTTGCTGCGTGTCTCTCGGTCATCATTTCTAAACCTGACGGCGGTGGCTCAATGTCATGTCACCAGTGGTCAGAGCCCAGGCCCCAGCAGGGGGGAGGCTCTGGTCAGAGGCCAGCAGCCTACTCACCTCCCTTGTCCCCCTGCAAAGGGGGACAAGGCTCTTGCCTTGCTTTAGGGCGGCTAGTAGGATTAGTGGAGTGCATTGAGGGCTCCAAACAGCCTGGCAGAAAATATTTTTGGGAAAATTGCTTTCTCCCCAAATATCCAGCTCATTGGAGTTACAAGCCCAGGTTACTTTATTATTATTATTGCTTTTAGTTTTAAAAGGTAATACAGTTTTTAAAAAGAGAGGGAGTCTATGAGGCTTATCATTTTGTAATGGAACTTTCTGGACTTGGTTCATTGTAAGAGGTTTTTAGGATAAAAATCTCATTTTTCTATTGAGTAATAACTAAAATCAAGAATAAAGCAAAACAAAAAGCATTTTATATTTCCACAGTCATTACTTAATTTTAGGGAAACACACCCAGCCAAGAATTCTGCCACCACCACTAGGTTTATACTTGGATCCCCTCCCAGGCCACCAGGGCCTGTGGATACTAGGTCAGGTGAATCAGGGACTGGAAGAAGTATTCCTGGGGAGGCAGCACTTCAGCTAAGCCCTGAGGGAAGAGGAGACCCCCAGGCCAGACCCTTACCTTCCCCTGGAAATCTCTGGCTGCACATGCATGTGACGCCCATTTTACAGAGTGAAACACTGAGACCCGGGGCTTACAGACCTCCTCCTGCCTCCTTGGTCCCTTCCATACCAGTGCACCCAAACAGCAAATGTTTGCTGACAGTATGCTGTGTGCTCCTAGTTGCAGCCAGCTCCTCAGGTGTCTGTGCAAGATTGTGCTTCCTTTTCCCGACCTCTTGCGCCCACAGCCCACTTGTCCCTCCCAGTCTCCCCTGCCTACTCCAGGGCAGCCATGTCCCCTCCATTTCACAGATGTGACATAGGCTGAGCGGGTGGTCTGGACAGGCAGCACAGAATGGCTCCGCTGGGGCACTGTATCAGAGAGGGCTCCCAGGAGGAGGCTGAGGCCTGGAGGGTAAGGAGACACCAAGGCAAGTATAGCCCAAGCTCTGTCCCCAGTCTGTGCCCAGACATGGGGAGTCTGGGAACTGGGAACCCCAGCAGCTGGGAGAGCCAGGTGGGTGGGCCAAGCCCAAATGCTGGTGGGGGCCTTGCCATTCCAGTCCAGCTTGGAGGCCACTGCTCCATCCTGAGTATGTCACAGTCTCTCACTAGCCTTGGGAGGGTGGCAGGGCCATCTCCATCCTTCAGATGAGAACACTAAGCCTCAGTGCAAGGTTGCCCAACCCTGCCCTAGGGACAGGGAGGCCTGTCAGAGGGCAGTCGTTTCCACCACGGACAGCAGTAGCCTAGGCAGTCTGTCATCCCTGGTGTGCTGGTGCCTTCCCTCCAGGTACCTCAGTTTCCCTTCCTGCACATGGTTGGTATTGCTGGGCTTTCCAGGAGCATGCTGTTCTAAGAGCCACCAGGAAGGGTGGATGGGACAGCCCAGATCAGTGTTCAAATAGGCCACATGTCCACCTCCAGAACACACCCCAGATCCCTCCTGCTACTTCTGAAGATGGCTTTGGCAGCAAGTGAGTGTTCAGCAGCACAAAAAGGTGTACAGTTTCCTATAGAATGTGAAAGAGGTCCTCAGGTGACCCTGTATGTCCCCTGACAGTACAAATGGAGGCACAGCACCACATGCCTGAATATTCACAACATGTAAGCCAAGCTACAGGCTCAGAAAAACATGCTCTGGCCTCCCTGATGCCACCTGTCAGGAGCTGAACTGTCTCCCCAAAGCCTAACTCAGCATGCACATCAGAATGTGATCTTATTCAGAGACAAGGTGTTTCTAGATCTTTACAGGCCCTTTACAGGGTCTTAATCAAGTTAAGATGAGGGCATTAGGATGCGCCCTAATCTAATACAACTGGTGGCCTTATAAGAAGAGATTTAGACACAGAGTGACATGCACACATGGAGGGCGCTGTGTGAAGGTCACAGTTAAGCTGCCATAGGCCAAGGGACTACCAGAGCTGGAAGAGGCAGGGAGCGACCCTCCCCAAGAGCCTCTGCAGGTAGCACAACCCTGCCACCCCCCTGATCTCAGACTTTTGGCCTCCTGAACTGTGAGACAAATTTCTGTTGTTCTAAGGCCCCCTGTCTGTGGCACTTTGTTACGCAGCCCTAGGAAACATACTCACCCTAAACGACCAAGCCTTTAGCATTTTTGGACTCCTGAAGGCCTGAGCCCCAGAGAGCCCTGGGAGCCACAGGCAGCCCTGTGTTTCCATCCCCCACCCAGCTCCACCCAGCCACCAGAGGGCTGCCCGGCCTTCCCCTCCCAGCCCCGTCCCTGAGCCTGTGGGCAGCTGCCCTCCACTCCGAGGTGCAGGGGGTGGGAGAGCAAACCCAGAGAGGGGCCACACAGACCTGAGAGGTGGGGGTGGGCCATTTGGCAGGGAATTTTTCAGTCCCAGAAGGTGGTCTGGAGGGGACTGGGTTCACAGTGGGCCCTTGGATGGTCCTGCCCTTCCTGATGTGGCAGAGAACACACATCTGATTCAGAATCAAGGAAACTGAGGAAAGCCACTGTATGTGGCCCACAAGTCAAAGTGGGAACAAGATATCATGGGGTAAAACCAGCCCTGACAAGGAAAGGGGATGCCTTTACATATGCGGAACCTGAGCTTCTGGGGGCTCAGAGAGCAGAGGTGGGAAGGGGCTGTCCTGCCAGAATCCTGCTCCGTGGTCCACCAGAACATCCATGCTCTTTACTGTCACCTGCCAGGCCCTCCAGAGCCCTGCCTGCCTGGGCCACCTTCCCCGGCTCCCCATGGCTTGCCTCAGCCAGCTATACTGGGCTTCTGGCTGTCCCTCAAGTTACCAAACCCATTTTCCAGCCTCAGGGCCTTGGCACCTGCTGTTCTCTGTGCTAGGAACGCTTCCCCAGCTCTGCAGAGGCAGATCTCAGCTCTTGTCTCATCTGCTCAGATGTATGACACCTTGGGGGTGATGGGGGTGTGTCGAAGGGGCGGGGCCGAGGGTTTTTGCTCTTTGCCCTTTGGTACCTGCTGAACTGCACGCTAGAACGCAAAACCCTACTCAGAAAAGAAATGCATGGAAGCACTTGGAAAACCACACTAGGAGTGAAGGTGAGAACCGGCGGGAGGGGCCAGGTGAGGATCGGAAGGGAAAAGGTGTGGGGACAGAGGTAACCGCGCCTGCAAGGCCCTGGAGGAGTGACACTTCTCGCTTGGGCGACTTCGCCCCCTCTGGGTTTGGTATCCCCAGGAGCCGCCCCCGGAGCTCGGCCCGAGGGCTGGGCGGGGCCTGGTCGGTGCCCAGCCCCGCCCCCGGGAGGGCGTGCCCCACAGACCCCGCCCCCTCCCGCCGGCCCGCTCCCTGTCCCGGGTAGGCTCGGCCAAGCGCCGCTGAGCGCCCAGGATGCGCAGGGCGGCAGCGACCCTGCGCGGCAAGGCGAAGCCTCGGGGGCGGGCCGGGGGCTCCACGGCTGCCCCAGGCAACCGCACAGGTGAGGGCTGGGGCCACCGGGCCGCGTATGGGATTCTGCGCCCATTTCACAGACGGGGAAGCCGAAGGGCTGGGGGTCACAGCCGGGGTCCCCTAGGACGAACCTCTCCAACTCTGCGCCCGCCCGGCCGGCGTCCTGATGGAGCCGAAGCTCAGCGGCGAGCTGTCGGAAACCAGGTGGTGACTTGCAGCTGTCAGCCCAGGGACGGCGTGCCCCTTCCTGGGTGGTCGCTCCGCCGCAGTCTGGGGTGCCCGAGGACCATGCGGTGGCCACGCCTCTCCGCGCGGCGGGCTCGGGGCCCAGTCCCAGTCGCGCCCCTCTTCTGCGCCTGGGGAAATCGGAACTGGCCTCACCTGGCGGGGCAGGCAGCCTCCGGAGCGGAAGGGGAGAGCGGGCCCCTCTCTGCTCCACAGAGAGGTGTCTTCTTCAGGGTTCTCTGGTGACCACTGAGGCCCCACTTTGCAGATGGAGAAACTGAGCCTGCAAGAGGGCAGTGGCTGTCCAAGGTCGCCTGGCAGCCAGACCTGGGACCAGCCTCAGCTTTCCAAGGCTCAGAGGTCTCTGAAAAGAAGGGAGGCTGGGTTTTATTTTACTTTTAATTGTTTGATTTAAAGAACGTGCTTAAAGAGCTTTCACCTTCAGTGCAGGGACTGGGCTTTAAATGCTGGCTTTGCTCCATGAGGGCTTCCAATGTCTAACCCTTTTAGAAACAGAACCAAACCGAAACCCTGTGTTTCAGATGTCCCAAAAGCTCACTTCTGTGGCCTCTGCTCAGTGAGGTTAGGCCTCAGGGGCTGGGTGTTTCAGGCCAGCGCTGGGTTTAGGCTTTTGCACAGGAGGAAGCTAAGGCCTGCTCCCTCTCACAGATGGGGAAACTGGGGCACAGGAAGTTAAGTCACCCAGCAGAGGTATGCAACTCAGCAATGTGGGAGCTGAGACTTGTCCCTGGCCCTGGTCGGCTTGGTTTATTTTGACTCCCCCAGGCAGCCTAATGCCCGGGGTCCCTTATTCAGTGCTGGGGTGAGGAGCACTTTTCTTCTGTGTTTGAGGGGGGCCTGCCCAGGGCCTGGTATTGCCTGGGACCCCCTTCTACTGGCACAACAGCCTAGGGCAGTGGGTGTCCAGGGCCCCTTGTAGGAGAGGTAGCAGGACTTGCCCAAGGTAGCCCAAGGCCAGGGAGGGTTAGAATCCCCCCTCTGACCTAGGGTGAGTCTCTCCAGCTCTCTGCCTCAGTTTCCCCATGTGCCAAGTGGTGAGCACTGTATACCTGCCCCCAGGCTGTGGACAGGCCACGTGGAGCCCAGGGAGGGTCCTTGTTCTGCTGCTGGGGTGATGCCATCATCTGTACCCCATCACTGCCCTGGCTCAGGACCGTCAGTGTCTTGCGCTGCGAAGTGAACGGATGGGGCTGGGAGCCTTTGGAGACCGTTGGCACCATCTAAAACACAGCACTGGGGTGTGTGTTTTCCTCACAATCCGTAAAATGGGACCATCACCACCGGGCTTCCTGGAGCAGACATGAAGAGTGGAGTAGTCCGGACAGACAAAGCATCCGGAGGGTCCTCCCTCATCTCCCTGGATGAGGGGCTGGGGTGGGGGAGGCTGGCTCAGCAGGAGTTCCTGACGTTTGTTGCATGGCTGGCCCCTGGCCCTGCTCCCAGGGCAGCTCCAGTACTCCCTGATCTGAGAGATTGTCCAGGAATGGAGGGTTCCAGTGGTTGGAGGTGACCCTGCCCCCTGGCCCCAAAGTCCCTGGAAGGGACCTTGGAGGAAGGGCCTGGAAAGGGGGACAGCAGGAGGCCGGATGGCTAGGTGAAAGCCTGCTGCGTGGGCGTCGTCTTGGCCTCACCCCTGAAGCCGTGCCTCAGAGCTGGGCTGTGCCCATTTTAAAGAGGAGAAACTGAGGCCCAGTGAGAGCTCATGTCAATCAAAAGGAGGCTCATGTGCCCCTTGGTGCCTTGCTGTGGCCTCCTGCCAGGGTGCTAGCAGAGCTGCTGGAAAAGAGGCATAGTTTCCTGAACCCTCAGTTTTCCCTGCTGGGAATTTGGGCAGCACACACTTCTCCTAGAAGTTAACCAGTCCTGTTCTAGACCAGAGTGTGGCTTCCACGGCGTGAGGCTCACCTGCTGCTCAGCCCGGGAGACCCAGGGCCGCAGCAGCTCTGAAGCCTGTGCCCTCCCTCCATGCGGGGATGGGCTCAGAGAGGGCAGGGCTGTGGGCCAGGGTCTTGGGGGGCTTGCCTCAGAGCACCTGTATGTGCACAAGTCACACTTTGAACTCTGAGAAATCTCTCCTGAGACTTCCCATGTTGCATTTGGGGAAACTGAGACCCAGAGCAGGGTCACGGAGATTCACAGGCAGGTGGGGATAAGGGTTGGCCACCAAGTCTAGGTGAGGCTGGGTCCAGCAGCCTGCCTCTCCCGCTCCCAGTGGCCTCTCTCCCACAGCCTCCACCAGCATAAAAGGAACTTATTTACCTTGTCCCATAGCGGGCAAGGTCAGGGGGTAGTGGCCATGTGGGTGCCAGGAAGGAGAACAGAAGGGGCCAGCCTGAGGTCCAAGATTCCAGATAAAAGATTAACAAGCAAGGATTGTTCGCAGACTCCCAGCTGGCTGCAGGGACTGGGAGGATGGGACCCACCCAGGTCGGCCTGCAGCTCTCAGTGTGGGCTGGGGAGGGAGGGAGCCTGGCCGAGGCAGGGAGCTGCACAGGGGTGAAAGGTGGGGCACAGGTCTGGCAGGCGGGCTGAGGGCCACACGGCATCCTCACCACCATCCAGGGAACCACAGCGGGGCTAGGCCGGACCTTGTGTGTGTGTGTTTTGTATTTTGTTTGCATCAAATCCATTTTGTTTTCTTTCTTGTTTAAGATTTACTTGCATGTAGTGATAAAAGGGGTCTAAAGGGTGGCAAGTAAGAAATGTCCTAGAGCAGGGCTGGGGAACAGGCGGTGTCCAGTGTCCCTAGGGGGCCTGTGGGCAGGCAGGGCCCAAGTCCAGGGAGGAGAGGCCTCTGCCTCCAGCTTTAGGGAATGTGGGATGTCCTCAAGGACCACTGGGGCATCCCCTGCAGGGGCCAGGCCAGGAGTGGTGTCTGAGAGCAGTTGGAAGTTCCCGAGAGTTTTAAGTGGGAGAGGGGACAGGTGCCTCTCAGGCACCAAGCATGGGGAGGAGCTGCCAGGAGGTAGAAGAGGTGGCTAGGGGACTCCAGGCTGGGGTGGGGGGCATCAATGAGGGATGGCCGTGGATCCCCAGGCTGGGACTCAAGGCCTCTCTGTGCGTGAGTGGGACTTGGTTGTGTGGTAGTTAGGGACATGGGCGATGGAGTCCACCAGCCCCATCCACCATTCCTTGGTGATTTGGAGGGTACTATTAGAGTTAGAGGCGTCATAGACCATAGCTCCTGGCACGACATTGTCTGCCTGCCCCATCCTGGCTGCAAGTTTGCTGAGATTCCTGTGGAAAGGGTTACCCTGAAGGGGCAGAAGTTCAGGCTCCTACACTTGGCACTGCCATTGTACACCCAGGGGCCTTGGGCAGGTCTGTGGCCCTCAGTTTCCTCATCTCTGAAATGTGCCCAGCCCAGAGGAAGGGTTTGCTGGCCTTCCAGGCCCAGGGAGGGAGTACAGGAGACCCCATTGGAGGGTAGGGATGATGGTCCCTTGGGTGCTTGGACTGGGGCGATGGGGACCTGAGGGGTGAAGGTTCCCTGGGTTCCGTGGACCTTGCAGATTGGGGTGCTCATGTCCTGGGGTGCTCAGAATGTGGTTTAGTTAAAGCACTGGCCTAGGGGGTGATCCTTCCCCTGCTCCAAAGTCTCCACTGGGTGGCTCCACTCCTCCGGTGACCCTAAGAGGGCAGGTCACCTGTTTTGCAGTCAGGGAAGTTGAGGCTGAGCTAGGCAAGGATCTGCTGCCGGGAAGTGGTTGTGCCAGGATCAGACCCCAAGAACCTCTAGGTTAGCCCCCCAGGAAGCCTACCCACCCTACTGGAGGCTGGGGCTTCTCTTGCTGTGGCCTCTAGCAGGTGACTGCCTCCCTGTGCCTCTCCTGGCTGATGGACTGGAGAAGGCGGGGCCTCCTGGCCGCCCTGTGTGGGTGGCAGAATGTTCCCTTAGATAGGACAGGAGGCAGGCCAGGGCTGCGCCAGCCTTGAGCGAGGGCTCGTCCCTCCACTTTCCTACTGCAGTACTTCCCCCAGACTCTTCCATTGGATTTTTAAAGGAAGAGCATTCCAACAGTACACTGAATGTTAAGCCCCAGGGCGTGGGACCCCCGGTTGGCTGGTTAGAAGGGAAGGGTTGATGCCAGGACTGCATCTAGAGCCTCTCCCCAGCCCCCAGCGGGCACCAGCCTTCTCTGCACACCCTCCCTGCCCGTGTGCCGATGGGGCCAACATCGGTTTTACTGAGCTTGCACTCCAAATTGTTTTCTACTTTTATTTATGTTTTTAATTTGACAGTACCGTCTGGGCTTCTTACAGGTCAGTATCATACTATATCACTGACTAGACTGCTTTCTTTGGTTGTGAGTGGTGACTTCTTGTGACCTGCATCCCCCATGTTTATGAGGCTTAATAAGGCAGGAGGGGCTCTGGGGATCTGGGGCGGGGTTATGTGCCCAGCCCCCTGCCCCGTGTTGACGCGGTCTGGATCTGTGAAGCGTAGTGCACCACCTGCAGTTGCCATCTGGGGCGGGGCCCTGGCCGTAGCCAAGCCTTGCAGCAGAGGGCACAGGATGTGGCTGTTGACAGACAAAGTGTGAACCTCGACCCACGACAGGACTGCTCAGCGCCCCGCCTTCCCGCACCAGCCACACAACACGGGTGGGGGTGCTCTTTCTAAGATACACTTAGAGGAAGTCAGCAGCGGTGGTTTCCTGGCTGGAGCCGCAGACATCTCATTCAGGCCTCGCTCCGCAGTGCACAGTGTGGTATTTGTAGGTGGGGACACAGGCTCAGGGTGGAGAAGGGACCCAGTGTCAATACACTGGCAAGGCCGGG